CCCCAAAACCCCAAAACCCCAAAACCCCTTATTAATAAAAATGCATAGAACTTAAGATTTGATATGCCAATGCTGAAGAATTATTGGTCTGTTCTAGGGAATCCACTGTCATCTGGGTAAAACTCACAGTTTTCTAAATAATAAGCATCCTCAGGGACTTTAATAGCCTCGCCTTCATTTCACTGCTTGTCATCATCTAGTGGGTCTATTGCCCAATTATTGGTCCAAAAATTGAAGAAGTTGCAGTGACCTACAAGTACAACCTTTTCGTCTCCTTCAAGTGTATTTCTCTCGATAAATTCTTTTACAAACTCTTTGGCTTTCTTGACTCTCTTCAGTAAGCTCTTGTCGCTCTCTAGATATAGAGGGAACCTTGAGGTTAACAGATTAACTACCTCTGGATGTAGCCCTTCAGCCTCCTTCTCTTCTTTCAGTGAGATTTCAGCTAGGACTTGCCTAGCCCAGTCCATGTCAATGTCATATAGGAAGAAATTGTAGGGATCTTCGTATTTTTCCAACTCTGAAGTATCGAAATTTGCAAATATTTCTGTGTAGTCTTTCACCCTTTTGAGGATGTTTCCTGGAAGATCATCTGTGCTGACAATACATTCCTTCATCACCGGGAGTAGGGTAAACTTGATGTTCTCAAAATTTGGATGATTCTTGAACACATTATGAGCAGTTTCTATAGCAGTAAGAGAAAGCCTTACCTAATGCTCTCCTCAATGGCGAGACAATTACATGCTTCACATTTAGAAGATTTGCCAAAGGCTGAGTTTCTTCTCATTGTGCGAATCCTTTCTCAGAAAGGGAACAATCTATTAAGTCGAGTTTGGTTGTGAGAGCCTTCACATCTTCATCAGTATGCTCGGAAGCTAACAGATCATCATTTTCTTGGTTAGACTGGGACTTTCCATGTCTCAAGAGAAGAACTCTTGAAGACTCTGCTAAGTTTTTAGCTCTCAATTCTTCATTAGTTAGACCATCGAATGCAGTAAGATCCATGATTATTTTTCAAAAAATTATTTCTGGGGTTTTGGGGTTTTGGGGTTTTGGGGTTTTGGGG